GTTTGGACTGTTTCCAAAATACACATGTAGGTCGGACATCACTTTCTAGACTTTTTGTAATTTATAGCTGGAAGTATGCTCACGTTTCTATCCACATGCATGGTGACCCGATGGTGCCTGGGAATATCCACTCATCTATTGTATAGACTTACATATACGTTATTCTCTTCTCAGTATGGAACGTTTTGACAATAAAACGAAAAGCCATACCCAATTATCAACTGGTTATTTATACCAGGTCATAAAAACGATTTGTGACAGTAAAATAATTGTTTATGGGCAATCATTGAGAGTGGCAATGAAAAGAATACTGGTTAGTTTGTAAAACTTTTGAATAAAAACAATTTACCCCTACCTATCAATTTGACAATTGTTCAAAAAGATCATGAAAGATAAACATATTGGGGAATACTACGTTTCGTTGGTCATTTCAATGTCAGTGTAAATCAATTGGAAAAATATCATTTTTTGAGAGATAGCTGGCGGAGTAAGTATATTGCACGGGACAACCGATTGATAAATGATTAACAAAAGAAAATAAATCCAGTGTTATTAATTGTCCATCTAACAGTCACACTTAGCAAAGAGAACGTTTTAAAATGTTATATGCAAATAATAATAATAATAATAATAATAATAATAATAATAATAATAATAAATAAATAGATAGATAGATAAGAAGAGAAACAACACATTTATTAACAATCACAACAATGATGAAACTCTACCTTAGCAACATGCTGAAGTAATTTGCAAAGAACTTGTAAAGGCGAGTTATAATCTTAAGTCTTCGGGCATAAAGAGTAGGAACAAGCAATTTTCTAATACCACTGAGATTTAAAAAGGACGTTAGTGGGTGTTAGGCTTCATATTATGGATAGATTAAAAACTCCCTCAAGCTCGACTCGTGATTTCTCAAAATACATCAACTACAATTAATTGGAATCTCGCTCAATACAATTACATGTTAGTATTTTTTGGTCGGTTTGTGTTTTCGTTTACTTAATTAATGCCTTACTACGTACAAAAATCACGGTCGAAAAAGTCAATGGTGGAATACATGTAGAATGTTTCGTGGTTACTTCCAAGCAGGACGGTGCAGGAATAATGAGGTTACATGTGGTTATTTTCAGAAAATGAAAAGATAACCGGTGTCAAGGGCTCAGGCTGTCGCGAGAAAACTAGATTGCAGTTGAGAGTTACCTTTATGGTTTGTTTTCATCACATTATGATCTGATTTGTAAAATATGGTCAACTAATTTATTTTACATAAAATCTATTAAAGCGAAGTTCAATTTTGAATAAATGAATACCTTTTGGTCACGTCTGTTTCTGCACAGTTGTGTTTCGGCCGCCTACGTTTTCCTTCCATAGAACCATATAGGTCTACTTCTAAAGTGTTGATATTATTATCAAAAACACAGAACAATATTTCTTAATTTTGAAACAAATTCGTCTTCCCAGAAAGTATTATCTATTCTGTAGTCTTAAAAAACAGACTGGTCGCAGAACTTCTGTGTCAATCCAAGGAATATAAATCAGCGGACCGTCACATCAGTATCTCCCTATGGCCGGGGATAGTTCATATATTTCCCTTGTTAGAGGTTATACACCAAGAACGGTCTTTGGGTGCACGGAAGACAGGTTAACTGGCTTTTCTAAGAAATAACAGGTGGTACTGCGAAACGCTCAATATATTTCAGCATTGGCCTTTTTTTTTAATTTTTGCACTGCGCGCAAAAGGTATGGAGCTGTTGCAATCACACAGTGATGTAACGGAAGCAGTAGTTGATGCAGAATAGAGGCAAATTTCATGGGATTAATTGGATAGATGTTTAGAGATGAAAAGCTCATTTAGGTACGTTTTTTATCCACCTGATGTAGGCCTAATAGTAACGATACAAGTGTTATTGATTATTAATTCTTAATATACAGTAGATGATCATAATATGCTTAATCTCAGTCACATTTCTATTATTTTCGTTACAAGGAAGTTTGCCGTTTTGTGTACAGCGGAAAAAAAGATACACATTCGCAGTGCAACAGAAATGACCAAGCACGAAAGACGGACAGAAGACATCAATTTAGCGGAAATCTTCCACCTTGAAAGCATGAAAACATGGTTTGATGTGTTTGCGAGAAAATTTCGGACAAAGTTCATCTAAGATTACCAGGTTCAATAGCAGCGTTTTGATCGTGAAAAAAAAAATCCAAACAAGTCATTAAGATCGACCTATAACTTTGTTTCTCACTTCTGCGTCTTGGGTGTTTGTAATTAGTAGAGGTTTATTCTATCTATGCTATCCCGAATCAATATTAGTAATACGTTTAAAAGACAACGGTCATGATGCGATTTGCTTGTTATCAAGAAATGCTCAGGAAAGCGTGTAGCAGAGATTATACAAGATGTCACGTAATACGCTGCAACAATTCACTGTGAAAATTTGCCGCCAAAGTCTCAATCACGCTTTGGAGAAGGTGTCACGATCTTAATGTGTCAGACAACAAGCTCTTATCCTTAATTTGAAAAATAGAAACAAAAGTTTACCCCACGGCGATGTGCCAAGGACCCCCTACCAAACTCACCCACGTGGATTTACCTCCCTAAAGCTTACATCTTACCTAAGCTCTATCGGATTGAAGTTTTTTCTTTTTTTTCATGGTAGCTTTGATCCCCGAAGAATCCCTTTAAGTAAATGCGAATGACCTCCCAACTTACATTGACTTTAAATGACTTAAGACCCCAGATATATAAAATCGAACCCCGACTTTTATGACATTTCAATGGCTTTGGCGTCTTCAAAGAAACTGACCCTGGATCCAGGGTAACTCGAATTCTTTTATTTTGCGTATTGCCTATATATTTCTCAGCCGTCAATTATTTTTGAATTAGGATAGAGAATTCTAGATTTGCGTAGAAAAGCAATTGTTTAAGTCTGTTTTGACAACACATGCGCAACTTTTCTCTCTTCATTTTTTTCTACTCGCAACCAGAACTCATCTTCACACTCATTAACTCTTTAACTTAACATTTAGTTCCTCAAATTAACTGTACGCATTCTTATGTGCCGCATCCAAAATAATTTTTTGGGGGTCTTGATTATTATTATTATTATATAAAATATTGAAATGGACAGGTATTCAACGCAGTCGACAATTTCCACTTTCCAAGTTATTTCTGCCTCCTATTGTTACCACAAATACACATTCAAAATAATAAAAAATTATGGAGATTGGGTAAGTATTAGTCATTTAGTTTTACAAAGACGAACTGCAATCATAAATTCCGTGACAAACGCTTACAATCCACAAAAGCCACACGTACAAAGTCGAAGAATAAGATGTAAAACACGCGAGCCAATACCCTAAAATAGCTTCGATTTAAAAAAAAACACCTCAAATTGAGAGCAGCCACTAGCACTAATGACTAGTCCAAAAAGCAGAATTTATTTCACATTGCACGAAAGTTTTTGAAAGAGCACCTAACAAATTAACATCTTTACATATCGGACAATGCAATTAAGTGGCACACGTGAAAAAAAAAGCCCTGCTCTACACAGAAGCTCAAGTAACGAATAACCTTATATTCTATCCCACTAAAAGCACGCTGTTTGAAAAAAAATTTGTACAGTACATAACGATACGGATGTCGATCACCTTTTTTCTCTCGAGTAAAGCGTGAGATGCCAGATAGCTCAAGTGTCTTCATTTCCTCCTATGCTCGCATTGGGAGGTTACACGCGTCTGGAACACTGAAACTAGGCCGCAATATACATTGTGTCCTGGACTGAAACAAATGATCCTACATTTTAATCTCACTCTCTGACGATATTTAGATATTTTTCATGGGCAGTTTCATCACTTCAGGAGTTTACGAAAGCACGGGAGCGGGGGTAATTAGGTTAATTAAGTGGATATTGACGTCACTGATGTTCAGCGTGATCTTATTTATTAAGTATTACCACTTGCTGCTTACTACACTGGAAATGTTACATTTGTGATTTTGTTTAATTTTAGACCATTAAAGGTCTATTACTTTCTTGCAAAAGTTCAGAATATCTAATGTCTAAACATGACAGAATTGCACAATGCTTTGTTTTAAGAATTTGGGAATTCAACATGAGTCTAAAAAGATAAACTTTTTCCGAGGAAAGTGACGTACTATGAGCATTCAAAATTAAATTCATCATCAAAATCGTAAGCCCGTGGCAATATGGCATTTGCACAGTAAGTTCCCGTCCAGGCATTGTTCGGGGGACATGCGGTGATCCTGACAATGGTTGAGCATATTGTTGGTCTATTTTCTTTCCTTTCCAACTTATGTAGTCTTAGGAAGCATAATCATAGTGAAGATATTTCAAATTTAGTTTAAGTGTAATTCACTTGCATGGATTTGAAGGAGTGTGTATTGTAATTCATGTGGGGAGGGGGGGGGTGAGAAGGGACAACGTAGGCCCTTCGCTCTTCAAGGAAGCTGCACAGAGGACGTGCAGCAAGTGCACTGAGATCGAAAGGGCTCCGTATAACCACTTTTCAGCCGACAAACCTATTTTTCCTTACCGGACCTCAGGGCTCTGTCAGAGAAATGGCACGGCAGCTGCATATGATGTATACATGCACGTCAACAAGAAAATAAGTAAATAAATAAATAGATAAATATTAAAAAAAAAATCACTCAAAAACCGCTACGATTTCATTGCACAGCACCTGCGTCACATGTTAACTCTATCATAAGGTCTTAATAGAAAGGATATGCTCTGTTTACATAATTTGCCTCTAACCGCAAACTTCTCTGATCCAGTTCACTCCTTAACCACATACTCCTGCACTGGCTGTAGTTATAGGGTACTGAAGTGAGTACACTGCAATAGTAGATGCGCTTTTAAAGAAGTGCAGGACATTAAATAGAGTACAAGAAAAAACATGATGGGAAATATGATACCTTTGGTATCGAGTTATACTGCACTTAAAAACACTTGACTTTCTTTGTCATTATTTTTATTAGGTGTTATAAACATTATCCTTCAACACAGCATAATTTGTAAAATTGCTTCATATTTCTCAGTTAGACCCTCAGAAATACCTTTTGTCTATCAATCAAGTCTCATGACTGAGTGTTTTTAGGAGGGTATTATGGTCCAATTTCACTTATACAAAATACTCTCTATTTCATATTTTTCAAGAAAGAATAAGAGTAAAATATAGTTGTCTATCATTTCTTCAATGTTTATCTTTACTAGAGCAATTTCACTGCTGTAGCACTGACAGTTATTGATGAAACTTATTATTAAAAATATATATCAAAGCCTCTTGTACAGAATTTGCAAGCTGCGTTTATAAGGTGAGTCCTTTTCACCTAATTTTCTTAGAACATTTTAATTGTTGCTTTTTAGTTCTCTTCTTATTTCCAGAATAAAAGTCTGTTGTCATGGAAATATTCCCGAGAGAACTGTTCTCCAACATATTGCTGGCATCCTGTGTGATACTGTCTTGCACAAATTCATCATATGGCACCTGGAAACAAATATGGTAAAATACAGACATATATTACAGAAACATGAGTAATCTTTAATTTTTTTCCAATGCACAACAACTACATGGTTGAGCCCGCACGACTTCTCTCCACTAACTAAATCATGTATACATCTATGTAACGGGCATTCAATACTACAAGATCTCACCCAGACTCTCAATCTCTTGCATCGCAAACAAAAAATTGAAAGAAGACTAGTTGCTTTAAGTGCAATCATATTACGCGAGCAGTGATTAAGTCTGTGTGATCTCTGGTCACGGTGGGGTCTGATCTGGTGGTGTTATCAGTACTGGAGCAGTAGCCCCATGTGAAGGAACATGTTATAGGAGGAGATTAATGTGTATGGGAGGCATTATAAGCCTTCTTTGGAGTGGAAAAAGAATGAAGTCAGTCAAAGTGAAAGACATTTCATGGCTCCCACATGAGGCCAGTCAGGCATGCTGGGATTAGTGCTATCACATGCACAGTGTACTCCCACGGATTGACGTGACAAACTGCACAGTCTTTTATGGAACTGTCAGCATCCTCATCAATTCCTTTCACGCGTGTAACTGTACTATACACAAAAAGGACTGGAGTACATATGGGAATAAGTGAAAATGCTATTTGGGTGTTTTGGTATAATAATTTTCATTTTCGCTAGACAATTTCAATTAACATCTCCCCTGAAGGAAAAACAAAATAAAACAAAAAGGACCTTGAGTTAACATCAGCAAAGGCTGACATGTGCCACAATGATCTCCCTGTCCATTACATTAGGAAAAGGAAAGTCCCTGTACCTTCAATAAAACATAACCACAATAATGTCCAGACATTATTTGTGATTTATCTGGTGAGTAATTATATAAAAAGCTTATTGGACTTAGTTGAATATATGCTTGTAGTTGTTGTGAATCCATCATCTCAGAACTCACTATTACTGACCTGTACTCTCTTGGTTTTGGGGGCTTCCTTTGGTAGGTCTGGGATGAATTTCATAAGACCTGCATCGTATGCATTGTACAGCTCTTCTGGACTCCTTAAAGTGAAATTTTAAATCAAACTTATTACTTAGCTGTTTCATCAAAAACCCAATGAGAAGGCACAAAAATGTATTAAAATATGTCCCATTTCAATCACAAAACAANATTTTTGATGTTCAGCGATTCTTTCAGTTAAGGAACGTCCTGTCTCTCCGATGTATTTCTCTCCACACACCTGACACTCACACTGGTATACAACTCCACACTGTTCTCCTGGGTCTAATTTGTCCTTTGGGGATACTAGGATGCCTCTTAGTGTCTGTCCTGCCTTATGGTGTAATACTACATTCCTTTTTCTGAATGCTCTTTTTAGCTTTTCACTAACCCCTTTCATGTAAGGTTCATGTTCTGACCAAATAGCACACCAGAGGGGGTGACAGGTTGTCATACCTGTCACAACCTCATTCCCTGATGAAATCTGACTGCAAGCAGATGAAATATTGGATGGTAAGATCAAACTAATATAAATAGCTATAGACAAAAGAATCTTCACAAGTCTATTATAATAACATAGCTAATGAAACTGTTCTACACAGAGTAACCCCCATTTTAACTACGTATTCTGGTGGTACAAAAATCATGTCAATGTGACACATATAAAAAACACATTGAAACTACAAAATGAAATACGTATAACATGTAATTTGGCAATATAATTTTGCAATTTCATAGTTAATATGAGCAATGTCAGTATATAGTAACAACAAATAAAAAGACAATCTTACAGATTCTTTGGAACTTGCTCAATAAAAATGCTTACAAAGAGAAAAAATTCATTAAACTATGATATAATATAACTTACAGTTTTGTCATCTCAAGTGGAAGCTGACCATTTCCTGAGGAAGGGGCTCCGTGGCAGATGTGATTGCCATATTTCCTCACCACTGGGTGATAGTGTCTCTAAATGAATATAAATCAATTAAAATTTTATAACAATTTTACAATTTATAATTTCTTAAATATTCCATCTCAATCTTATAAACTTGAGCTTTAAACTTGTCACCTGCCTGTTCAGTAAGTTCCCAATGTGCCAGAGATGCTGAGAATGCATTACTCTCATACTGATACAAAGTAGGAATAGTTGATTACAGAAATGCATTTGTTTGATTCATTTTGAAGCACTTTGTTTATTTTCAATGATAATGTTAATTCAGAGAAAAATATTTGACCATTACAAAGTAAACTCCAGGCTTCTACTGTACACATTTTCCACATGAGCCACATGTGTCATGTTGTCCAAGCACTGAGTGGCAACTATATATATATATATATATATATATATATATATAATTTCCCCTAGACTAGGGGACTAGATCGATCTAGCAGGATTGACCCATCTCCGAGGGGTCTCTCGCTAAACTGCATTCAGCTTAAGAGGCTCTGATGTCTGGCACGCCTACTGAAGCTGCTTCACGATAGTTAATTACCCCCTAACAGCTTCAAGTAGGCATGCCAGACATCTAAGCCACTTTAGCTGAATGCACTTTAGCGAGAAACCCCTCGGGGATGGGTTGATCCTGCTAGATTGACCTAGGTATGGGAACAGAGTCTAATTGCACTCAAGCCACTTGAGTAGGCCTTGGCGTAAACATTAAGAAGCTTATCTCTTTCATTATCATTGGAGAAAGAAGAGAAAATATTACTCTTTTTTTTAGTTTGAATCTCCAAAATGTCTAACATGCAGTTTGTTGTACTTGGTATCTTCTACCAGAGTTTGCAGTTAAGAAAAAGAACCAGTCTGTATACTGCAAGAGACCTAAGTAAAATCCTTCCAATAACAAACTGTTTGTGGCCAAAAAGGCAATGCTGGCAGTTCAAGGTGGTAAATCAATGATCGAAATCACTTATTTGCAGTTCTAAGTCACAAATCGAAATTATCATTTATGACAACAGCGCCTGATGTGTGTAAAAGTTGATTTCTGACGGGAGAATTCACCTCAAACTGATAGTACAAATTGACATCTCCACTGTTATTATTCTCACAGGCATTTTGAAGTCCAACAATCCCGCAAATTTTTGGACCACAAGGATTTTTTTCAAAGCAAATACATATTCATCAAATACTTTCAATATTTCCAATGTACCCCCGATGTATTTTGCTGCTTTGCAGAAAGCCATAATTATAGCCATCACCTGGAGCAATCACTACAATTACACTGCACACTAAATGAAGTATATCACAGAGCAGAAGTAACTCAATATCAATAATTTGTGATAGCTGAATTACTCCAGGGAGTATAGTCCATTACCATTGGAAGTACGGCTTAACATTGCTTTCGAATATATCAGCTTTGACAAATTTACCAGGCAAACATTGCACAGAAAGTCGCCAAGCTCAATGCTTGAATTTAATGGAAAGAAGACAAACCAACCCCTACCAACATTGCTCAAGGGCTATTCCACAATATTCAATGACTTCAGTAACAGCTTTCACTTCTATAATCTTTACATTCCCACTATTTTGTCAAAGAAAATTCTGTTGGAACGTGATTTCTTATTTTTGTATTTCATTATATATGAATGAGAAATGAGAACATTTTGGAGGTAGGAGTATTACAAAGGAATGAACCCAAATCTTTTGAACCCTTTATCTGTGATGAACTGATCGTAGTTATGCAGGAATTTTAACAAGTCTTAGATCTCACTCATTCAACATTAGCAGTATATTTCATCATTTATCTATTTGTGTACTTATATGATATAAGCACATTTTTTGAAAACTATGACCTAATGAAATATTCTATATGGAATGTGAACTGCATTAAAACTAGGTTTATAATTTTTACAATTACAGGTAACCACATATAAGACTATTTGTTTACTATATAAACTTACTCTGAGGGTGTGCAGTTCATACAGTGCAGTGGCATGGGCATTGCAATGCTCGGGATCAGCCAGCTCAGGGAAGAAAGTACCACTCCCAAGGGTTTCTGCATCAAACAGCAAGTCTGACTTGGGAAAGCTCTGCATAATTGTTAAATACAATATTGTTAAATAGATCAAGGACAACAAATGTATCCAAGTATGTAATGCGATCTGAAGAACAAGTCAACATTGTTACTCAAGCATTTGGCTAGAATATATAATTGAATATGTACTTTACATATGAAAGCAGTGCAAAACTAGGAAACTAATTATATGCTGACAAAATGTGTAGCAAACAAGTCCTAATAATAATGATGTTGTTGTTGATGATGATGATGATCACGATAATTAAAAAAAATAAAAAATTGCGAAACTTTTGATGAAAAAAATCTGCTCAGGCCAATCTTTTGACTTGACCTGTATTTTAGCCAGACAGATGACTTCAATGTGTTTGAAGCCAATTATGCAGCAGCTGTATCTTTAAGTCGTCATGGTATCTAGGGGTTCAGAACCTGGGCCACACCACCTCCTGGGTATGTACCACCAGCTGGATTTTATGTATATCAAAGAAAGAATAACACATACAAGTTGCTAAAAATGAGCTATAAAGAGCTTTCAATTTTGGCATGATGACTAGCACATCCAAAGAATTAAGTCACCTATTATACTAACCACAAACTCAGGCAGCAGATGTGAAACACCAATGTGTATAGACTCATTTGAAGGCTTATTTTATTTCATTTTCGAACCTAAGATTGTAATATAATTTCTGTTTTATATGTATTTCATTACATATATGCATTGGCCTGGTAAACCTTTATTATTATTTCCAGTAACATATACAAACCACTTCTACTAGTTTCTTATACAACTAAAATAAAGACAGCATTGCAAGCCATAAGCCAAGTTACTCTCTTGTTCAGCAGAAAGACAGCTTTAAAAGTTCTTCAATTTTTTGCTCATAAATTGATAAAGTACACAGTCTGTATATAAAAAGTTTACATTTTAATGTATATACACACACACACACACACACACACAGTCTACATAAAAAGTTGGCATTTTTAACTTGTAATTGCTGCTGCCCTGGAAAATGCACTGGTTGACCCCTAACTCAGCTGAATGGACTCCAAGTGTAACAATACAAATGCATAGATCTTTAAAGTTAATGAAAATGGTCACAATCATGTAAGAAACAGGTTTAAAAATCAGTCTTCCCATTAAGTCCACTATGTTCCTAAACCAGAGCTGTAACATGTACATGAGCAGTTTATCAGTCAATTAAACAAAACCTCCACATGTGCGTTGATTGACAAATAGGGCTGCAGTGAAGAAAAACTGAAGCCAAACTACATCCAAAATCTGTGGCACCTAATTTTTTTTTCTTGGTATCAATCACAGCAGTAACTGGTCTGCCATGTGCTGCCTCTACAAATCAACAAAAGAGTTATTGTAAGCACTTACATGAACCAACTGGCGCAGGGCTGATAGGAGGCCCAGGGCTTCAGGATGCAGCACCTGCAGGGTGAGGGTGCTGAGCCGTTTGATGAATGCCAAAGCCCTTGGCACAGACACCTAGAAACAAGGGTGGAGAGGAATCAGTTAAAAAAGAAAAATGGATATAGGTATACAGCAATCTAAATTCATACATTGTAATACCTAGTAAGAGAGTATTATATTGAAGTAATAACAACAAATACTGTTGAAAGTCTATTTGTTACTTGTTACAAAAATTTATTACATTTTCATTCTAAAACTTTCTTTTTTTTGGGGGGGGGGGGGGNTGAAATACATTTTCAGGATGCAGTGATGTTGAAGAAACTGGTAAAATCCAAGAAGAATGAGTTGTGCAATTCTGATAGAAGTGCAGGAAGATCTACCAGGTAAATGGAAGAGAAATATTCTGGATTTTAAACAAATAATTGAGGGGCAAAAATGCACTCCTTTCTTGCCATTTTGATATATTGCAGTGTTATTCTGGTTCTAAACTGCATAAGAAACTTGTGTCAAAAACTATTGAAATTTTTTACCTACTTTGAAAACTCGGTTGTGTTGTAAACCCATACAAACGATTGTGTCATTTTTTGTAAACCTATGCTGGGCTGTATACGTTGTTAAACCCTTGTCAAAGACTGGCATACCTTTTAACCCTCAAGAACCCACATTAGATCACTTTTTTACAAACTGGTTTTGACCAGTCAGTATTTTTTATTTACATTTTCTCATTTTTAGGTCGAAGAGGTGCTTAGTAATGAAACAGAAAAAGTTTTACAGAAGGTATAATGAAAAACCATTTTTCAAAAAACAGTTTTGTACTAACCAACTTTTTGAGTCGATGTTTTGTTTTTTTGCAGGTCAGAGATTGCCAGACAGCTTGACAACAATTTTTAAGTTTTTCAAATAAGATATTTCCAGATATTGAAGTACTTCAGCATCATTCTTACAGAGTTTCCTTTTAATTTGCAGTTTTCTTTTCTTTTGTATTTTTAGCCCCAAAAGAAAGCCAGGCCAAAACTTCCTTCTACTGCTTTTGGCAAACTCAATACTCCCTACTAAAACTTGCGTTTGGTTGAATGTTAAAATGTTTTTCAATTGTTGTTATACCTTCAAGTTTTTACTAATCATTGTTGTTCATTTTGATTTTTCATGTTCAGATTCAATGGCATTTTTACAAAAATAGTTAGCAACTGATGTTTAAATCAGTTATATCTGACTGATAACATATTTTTTTCTTTACAGGCCAAAGAGGAACCCAGGACCAAGACTCTCTGCCATCTGTGCAGCCCTGAAGTACCCCGAGGATGAAGAGGAGGAGCTGAGTGAGATAGCCAGCTGTCATGACCAGCTCAGTCAGATGGATTATGAGGAGGATTCAGCAGAGGAGGGCTCTGTGACAGAACCAGAGGAAACTGTGCAGTGGGTGCTGTTTAATGCAGTGAAGAATGCCAAGAACTCCTTGGGCCAGGGATTGGCAGACCCCTTCTTGAAGTTGCCCAACAGAAGGTGTGTTGCTGTTTTTATTTTCCTTTTTGACTGTGTTCAGACTAAAATTTTGGGCCCTGGCTAAAACACTCACAGTTACAAATCTTAAACAATGACATTCATCGTTTCTGCTTTGTCTCAATCAGTTGTGACTCTGAAATTAAGATTGACATAATTTCTGTATTGTCTACAAAAACATGCATACAAACAAAAAATTTTAAGGATTAGTTAGTGGTTCATCTCATTTGAGGAATATTTTGGGCATATTAAAGATTTAATGTAAAATGTGCAACTTTTTGTATTTTTGTCACATGTTTATTTTCAGTACGTCTTTTTTATAAAATGTAGAAAGTTATCAAAAGTGTTGTGAAATGTATTCAGCTTTATGCTGTCTATTTGTTAGGTTCTACCCTGATTACTATGAGGAAATTCATCATCCAATGGCTATGATGCAGATCAGGAAAAAGATAAGGGTGAGGCAATTGTAAAATATTATTAACATTGTCCTTATTATTCAGTTTAAATAAAATTTTCTTCAACAACAGCTAAAGTCGGTATTCTAATAGTCATTTGCACTCCAATATTTCTGTTTCTATCAAATCACTTTCTTCAGGGATTAAGGGTCAGGAAATATTTAACCCCTAACTGTATTTATCTGCCTGTATTTACTGGACATGTGCAGTTTTTATCACATTTCCTGTATCTCACTAAGCAGGTGTTTATTAAATCAGTAAATTATCTCTATACAGTTCAAGTACAAGTAAACCAAGGCATTTTCCCAATCAAAAATCTTATAGCAATATATATTTATAAGAAACATGCTTCACAGTGATGGATTGGTTCCCACTTTCTAGCAAGGGAAATACAGCTGCCTGGAAGAGTTGTCCTCAGATTTTGAGCTGATGTTTAGGAATGCCCAGCAGTATAACACAGATGAGTCCAGAATCTATAAGGATGCTGTGAGACTGCAGAAGATAATGAGGACCAAGAAAAAGGAGCTTGAGAAATTGGAGATGAAGGTAGAGGGGACAATAAAGAAGGGAGAAAGGCAGATTTAGTAAATTAATAGGAATTATTATAACAATATTGTGGCTACTCACTGCATAATTTGTGAAAGTTCAGATTACCATTTTATTATAATAATATCTTTTTTATGCCATTTATTCATTGATTATATGTAGAACAGGTATGAAATGGAACAAAATGTGCATATCTGGTTTAGGCTCCATCTGGTGTTGAGTCTCAGATGCCAAATTTGTAAAACCTCCATATTTTTAGTCATTAACTGCCCCAGTATTTCTAATTTCAGTAGGTAACTGGTCCTTAAGTTATTTACTTTGATTTGCCAGTAGTAAATGAACATTATTTGAGGAAGACAGGAAGTGAATTTTACATATATCTGAAATCATCTTCATATTGTTGAGAGGTGGAGCTGTTTAGGTGAGCATCATTTGGAGACAAAATTGATAAGTTTTGTTATAATATCAAATTTGGATTCTTTCAGATGAAATATTACCATAAAAGAGCTGTTATATTGCTACACGTGTGAAAGGGATATTTATCTCTCTTGCAGCTTTTTTTCCCCTGTGTGTATACAACTTAAGAAGGGTTTTTATATATTCAATTCAGGAAAATTTCCCCTGTGCATCAAGTACCTTGCGCAATTTAAGGTTTCCTTTTAGTAACTTTATTTTTCTGTTTTCTTTAGAGTACCTTTAGTTTTTTAAACTATTTTGTCATTATCACTGAAATCAAAAGAATTGCTGAGATGTTTGTTTAGTGTTTTTTTTTTGTTTTGTAAGGATTGAATTTACAGGTTTTTAATGAACGACATGGTTCTGTTTCCTCAAAAGGTACTGCCCTGGTTGCCAAAATTTCAAATTATAGAGAGCAATTTGCCACTAAAAACTGAACGTGAAAAATGTATTTTTTAAAGCTTGAGCATCTGCTACAATATTATATTTAATATACTACATAATACACTTTAGTGCCCGCCATTATTGCCATGTCTATTCATGGGTAGAGGCATAAGTAAATTATTTAATATCTACCTTTGACCTTGAACCGACCTTGCTGACCTTGACACCATTTCCTCCTTTTTTTTCTACCCCTGAACATTAGGAGGTATTAGAGGATTTACCCTCGTATGATTTGGAGGTAATTATGCTCAAATCACGTATCATGTCTGCCAAATGTTAGCTTGGGTAGCTTTACAGTCACAAGAAATTAGAATTTTTTGAAGTTTCTCTGATTTTTAAGCAAGATTTTTTTTTCCAAAAAAATATTATATAAGACATTTTAGAACAATAATTAGGAAACTACCCAAAAAATCTTACCTTAGGTACTAGATTTAGTGAGTAAACTAAATCCAATTTGATTTCCAAATTTTTATCTTTGATTTAAGATATAATTACTACAGTCGATAAGACTACTGAGGTACATATCTTCTAAACAAATATTTCAAATTGTAAAGCTACTTAAGGCTAACAGCAGGGCATAAGGAAATTCTTTTTACTGTTTCCCTGTCTCCCTTCTCAGAGGATGTCATACATCATGAATTTATTTAATGGGCATGCTTAGATTTATCTGTAAGCATAACCTTCCTGTCATTGAAAGGCAAATATGTTCTTCTCATCATTTTTGATTTTTATTTTTCTAATTGTCAATGAGAAAACTTGAAATTGGGTTTTGCCTTCTATCTAACAGAGAATGACCATACGACAGTATTTGTTTTGAAAAAAAAATACTGTTTATAACATGTTTGCCTGTCAGTTTTCTGCTTTATTAAAATGCATGCAGATGTGGCAGAATTAGGAAGAGTTGTAGATGACACTTTACTGCTGACATACCTGGATGGCCGCCTTCATGTCCTATCCTCAGCTTATAGAAGTTTGTGTAGCAGTATTCCGCTCCTGTCAATGTGGGCTTTTAGAAAAATGTCAACCTTGGCCTGGCCCTAACTTTTAAAATAACCTTGACATTGTTATTGACCATGGAGTAGCCTTGACCTTAATTTGATTTTTGACCTTGACCCTGTTTTGCTGTGACCTCGCTGTACTGATTGTTGGAGAATTCATTATAAGGAATTGACAGCTGTTGGTGATGATGGATTATAGATTTTTGTCAGACTGCAAACATCTTTGTTGTCTCTTATTTTTTTTACTCCATTTCAGAACCTTAAAGACGTGTGTTATATTAAACTGAATTAATCCTTATTTTTACCTTTATTTTGTTCAGTCGCTGATTATTTTTGCATTCTGTACTATCTGTAGCATACGTTGTTTGATTTGTGAATGAGCATATAAAGTTATAGTAGACTATTAAATTTTTATTTTCTTAAACAATATCAGTGGCCCAAACCAGCTATATTGAGAGGAGAGAGTGAAAATGCCAAGAAATACTGATGTTCCATAAAGTCATTGTCATAACAATTAAAGCATGCTCTAAACAGATATATGTAAAAATGCCCTCTTTTTAATGAATTTGCTTTAATTGTGATCTCATGCTTATTAATAATGGTGTTTTTTTGTGTAGTCCTTGTTTTTACATAGTTTAGTAGAAATTTGATTTAGTTAAAATATACTAGTCTTATATACATCTTTCAAAAAGCATCAGAATTCATCTTTCCTCCTTATGTCTTTTTTTTTAAATCTGGATTTATTGTCTAATTTTTATATGTTTCTTCTGTTTAAAATAATTTTACACTTCAAATTTTCAACAGATAAATAACATCTATTTTTAACATCTAGATTAGATTCTTTGTTCATAATTAAGACTTTTACAAATGATGGTTGTATGGATTAGGTGAGGCGCAATTTAGATTATTAATAACCTAATGCACTGTTAGATCTGTCAGGTGGCATTATCTTCACATTTAATATGGAAATAATATCTGATGTCTGTTTTTGAAACAAATTGGCGCACAATTTTTGTTTTGAAACAGATGTAGCTCCGTGTTCAAAGTCTCAGGCAGGTCTCCATGTAGCTTGGCTTCACCAAAGAATATGAGCCTGAAAATTGGTCTTGACTTTAGTACCAAACATTATAGTCTGCTTCAGTTCAATAACAAGATAAACGGTAGTAGTCCACTTAAAGAAAGCAACTGCTGATCTTTTAAAAATATCATTTGGCATTTCTTTCTTTTTATTAAGCAGGATTAATGTCCTGTTAAACTGAGCTACCATTAAATTATTTTTGGCTAATGTAGTCAATATTTTTTTGGTTTGGGGAGGGTGGTGGGGTGTTGTGGGGGGGGGGGGGGAGGGGCAA